AAGCAAAACACACCCAATGTCACAGAACCCTGCCCCAGGGACAAAAATTAGTCAAACGGCAAAGCAGCTACCAGAGCTGCAATATGTTTACCTAAACCTTGTCCCAACTAAAGTTTCCTAAGGTAGACTCCGCTTCCAGCCTTAGCTTTAAGTTGTAAGCCAAATGCCTCCCGGGTCTCTCTCCTCACTGGCCCCTCACCAAGTCCGGCAAAGCCGATCCGCTCCTGAGTCCCTATCTGGGGACAGTCCCATGCTCTACCCGGTCCCTGGCCAAACCCCTGAGCACCCTCACCAGCCCTCCTTTGCCCTCTCTCGCCCAGCCTCCCAAAGCCCTCATGTCCCTGAATCTCTCAGCCTCGTCCCCTCCAGGCCATCCCTTGGCTCCAGCCCCAGCTCAGGCCCGCATCTGCCTATTCTCTTCTCTCTTGACCTTCACCCCAGCCTGACCTCCAGGCCTCCAGCTCATCCTCCACATGGCCTGAGAGGGGTCTCACTATACCCAGAGCTGCCCCTGCCCCTCCCCTGCTCAGAGCCCTCCACGGCTCCCACTGCCCTTGACAAGGTCTTAGCCCCTCAGCTCCTCTGTAGCCCTGATGACATCCTCAGCCTCTCCCACCACACTCCAATCCAACAATTCCCCCAAAATATGCTGGGCTCTTCTTGTACTACCTTTGTACTGGCTGGCCCCTCTCCCTCTAACATCCTAAGCTCCCCTCTTTGCCAGGACAGACCCCACTTTCTTTCAAGTTAGAGGTAGGATTCGGTTAGGTTCCTCTTCTGGCCCCCCACAGTGACTCAGCTGCCTCCATCAGAGCACAGATCTCACTGCGCTGGAGCCAAAACATGGAGTTTTTAAGTGAAGAAACTGGGTCTGCTCATCTCAAGGAAACTGGCATCACCCAACACGGGGCCTGGAACATGGGAGGCCTCAGAAAATGCATGATGAAGGCATGGAAAGAGGAAACACACAAAACGCAAACCCAGGAAGGTGGCCCCAGCAAGAGACACAGCAGGAGGGAAGAGATGTAGAGAGGAATGGGAGAGAGGTCGGCTGCCATGCTACCTGCATTGAGTAGTGAAGGCCGGAGCAGGCCGGGTGCAGCATGAGGTTCTGGAAGGGCTGGATTCGGGGCTGGCCCCAGCCTTTCTCCTCCTTCCATTCCACCATCAGCATGTGGTCAGTGAATATCTTCCCAAACACCAGGGGCTTGCTGAGGTCAGGCTTCTGATGAGGCGCCTGCGTCATTTCCAGCTGCAGATCTGCAGCCTGAGAAAAGACAGGGACACGGGGTGTCCTAGAATCCGGCCACAACCTCTAAACTGAAAAACTACAACTCCCATGAACCCCTGGAGCTAAGACCTAGAGAGTAGAGGGACCTGTAGCCCCACGGGCTTCTGGGACATGCAGTTTCACTTCTCTCCCACTAGCTAATGGCAGGCCATTAGGCTACCCTATTGCCACCCACCTTCACCTTTGGGCCCTGGACCTTCTGCAGATGCCCAAATCTAGCCCCCAGCCCTCTCCTCCCTCAGACCGAGGAGTCCCAGCCCCTCCTCCTTAAGATGCAAAAGTATATCTCCTCCTTTCACCTTGAAGTCGGACGAGGCATATCTTCTGGGACCACACAGAAGCCAAGTGACAGGGAGAAGTTTTCGGGCGCAAATCTGGGGGTGGGGTCAGAAGTAAGAAAGGTCGTGAGGCCAGGAGAGAGAGAAGAGGGCCCTGGCACCCCTTTTGCCACCTCTTGCACATAGGAGGTCCCTCTGGCCTGCTCTGTCCCAGGTCCAGCACATCCGAGACAGGGCATGTGGCCCTGGCCAAGACCTTTTCCCTGTCCTGATCAGCATGCAGCAGCAGGATATCCTGAAGGAGGCCAAGTCCCCTTTATGCCCCTACAAGGGCCATCCCTAGAAAGAGTTGAATCAGCCCCCATTCCCTCCTCCACGTTGGGGCAAAGTCAAACGCAGGCACCTCCCACCCCGGGGAACTTTGGCCCCAGCCCTGAGAGCAGCTCAGACCGAAGACGATGAGGGAAGGTGTGCAGGTAAGTGAAGCCCTCCCTGGGGGACCCAAATCCTGACAAGAGTTCGAAAAGTAAGAGACCTATGTATAGATCATGCTCCCCAGGAATAGCCCCCAGCCCCCTCCGCCCTCAGACCCAGGAATCCAAGCCTTTATTCTTTCAGGGTATTCGATCAACTCGGCTCAGATTACCTGAAGCTCCTAATCCTACACCTTGGACATCAGTGATTCCAATTTTGTTCAGATCTCAGGGCTGAGGGGCAGCTACATGGACCTGGGGGCCACCCTAGTCGTCAACAGATACTGCTCAGATGAACACTTCCCTTGTGGTCCTGGCCGGGGCGAGCAGGGGAGAGCAGTTCTGGCTGTGTCCAGCAGGGTGGCCTCTCCCCAGTGTTCTTTGCCCTCACAGTGCCTCTTTCTCCAGCCCGGCAGGAAGGCAGCTGGCTCATGAGGATGGGGGAGACGGAACAGCCTAGCCTGCTCCTGCCTTGTGAGCTGGGTGAGCTGACACCAGTCAGTGAGAATGGACGTGAACGGCCGCAGTCGCTGGTCGGTAGGTGAGTCATGGGGAGAGGGGGGCTGCAGTGCTGCAAAGTCCTAAAGTCTGAGCCATGAAGTCTGAGGAGGGGCCCTGGATGGTGTGGGGTCCAAGGGCTTCTGGGATGATCAGAGTGTAGGTCCTTGGTATGGCCTCTAGGTGGCGATGTGTAGCCTGCCCAAACCCGTGGGTACGTTTCTGTCCAGCACAGGACACTCACAGTATGGAGAGAATACGGACACACGCGAGAAGCCAGCCAGCATCTGGGTGGGAGAGCGGCCCTCAGAGGGAGCCAGAATGGATAACGATAAAAGAGTATGAGAGGGAAGACCATGATTGTGAAAATGACAGACATGCAGCAATAAAAACACAAACATTAACAGACAGAAATCAGGGCCAAGAGATGTCAAAACAGATATGATCTTAAAGAGAGAGAGAGACTGAGACAAGAGACAAAGGGAGAGAAACTCAGGCAAAGCAAAACCTGGAGAAATCAAGAAAAAACACTGAAGGGGGGCATAAAGAGAAGTCATGAGAGAGAGAACAAGGGAAGAGGAGAGAAAGACGAAAACCAGACTTCAGGTGACAGAGCACAAACTGAAAGGGAGATGCAGAGAAATGAAGAAAGACTAGGAGAGACAGCGATGCTAACATCTGGAGAGAAACTGTCTCAGTGTGACTTAGATACAGAGATACCCAGGAGGGAGAGAAAGCAGAGGCAGAAAAACACACCCACAAAGCAGAGACAAGGTGCTGGGCTCGGGGTCCCATTTATAAATCTGCACTGGCCTTAGAGACCCTGTCACACTAGGAGAAGCTACCTTCACCCTTCCAGGATATTTCTCTAGGGACAGGGGTCTTGCCTCAGCTCAGAGAAGGTGCCCCACCAGGTGACACCCCAAGCCACAGGGATTGGGCCCAAAGGAGACTCTCAGATGGTAGATGGGCTTTGGGACAAAGAATGTACAAGGACTGGGGCTGAATTAAGAAATGGAGAAGGCGTGAGGCGGAGTGCCAGGGCAGGCCTCTGTAACAAGATGGAGCCTCGTCCAGTGTCTCATGACAGCCCAGGACTGCCGCCGCCACAGTTCAGGACTGTCCTCCCATCACGGCCCAGGAGTGTCACCATTAAAGCCCAGGATTGTCACTGATAGCTTAGCACTATCCTCTACATGTCAGGACTGCCCTGAGAAGAGTCCCCGTCGCAGTGGAGGGCCACCCTTGTCTCAGCCTGGGACTGTATCACAGCCCCAAACTGTCCTTGTCACCGCCCAGGATAGATCCCGTCACATGTAGAACTGTCCCATTGGAGCCCAGAACTCTCCCATCACAGACCAGGACTGTCCTACGACAGCCCAAGACCCTCCACATCACAACCCCCAGACTGTCCCTGTCACCGCCCAGGACTGCCCCATCACAGCCCAGGAGTGTCGCCATCAAAGGCCAGATTGACCCAGTCACAGCCCAGGCCTGTCACCATCAGTCACCGGGACTCCGAGAAAGTAAAAATCGAGCCTGTTATCCATCAGATAAGAGTCCCAGATAAAGTCAGGTGCAAAGTTAACAAGTAACCCTTCTCCCAAGGTTATGCTGCAGCTGTCAAGAGTAAAGACTTCCTTCCTTGAGTTCTTGCTGTTTCTTTCCTCACTGAGAAACCTTGGCTGTATTCATAGACTCCTGGAAACTGCTGGTTGACATCCGATCAGTAAGAACGGACTGTCCCCCTCCCTCTCTGGAACATCCGTCCCTTTGATAATGAGAAGCTGCCTCGATTGCCAACTCCCCGGGTGCACAGCTTCTGATAAGAGGTTTTAGGAACACAACCTCCCACATCTACCTTAATCTTTAGTTCCAAGAAAGTATGGTCTCGGGTCCAATTCCCAGTCCAGCCCTGAGGCTGAGCGCGGTGCCTTCATCCTGGCCCCGCCCCTCGAGGTCCTGGGGGTCTGATCCTGGCTCCCCCACAAGCTGACTCTTCATCCCCCTACCCCAGTCACGTGCCTCTCCCGTTACAGTCTCCTCCTCCATGTTTCCCTCTTCATACCTCCCATGCGCGTCCCCTTCCCACCATTTACCTCCCCCTCCCCCCATCAAGCCTCGTGCTCTTTTTCAGGGAGCCCCCTCCTCCTCGGCGCCCCACAGCGGAACCTGAGCGCCGGAGGAACGGCTCCAAGCCGGACGAGTGGTCCTCCCGGAAGTGCGCCTTCCCGCGGGGTTCCCCTGCCTTCGGCGCGGGGCCGCAAACCCACCTGACCCACAGAGGCTGTTGCCATGGTCGACGTGGCGGGTAACTGTCCTCTCCCCGGACGCGGTCCCGAGGAAAGACGTCCCGGCCACGCCCCGCTCACAGCCCCTCCCGCGGGATGGCCGCCCGCCCGGCCCCCAAGGCGGGCCCGGCCTCCCCAATTATAAGGCGCCTGCCCGGGGCCGGGCTCTGCTGCAGAGCGCATGCGCTGGAGCCCGTGCCGCGTGGGGGGGGGGGTGGAATGGAAACCCACCCTCTTCCCATCCCCCCACCCAGGATCCTTTCCCGCCACGGTGATACAGAGCGAGAGAGCCCGTGCAGCGGTCCCCAAAAAGGCATTTTAATGGATACTGTCATGAAGCGCTAAGGAGGAGAAGCAGCCCAAGGTAAAAGAGTGGAAAGGCCGGGGGCAGAAACCTCCGCACGTCTCCATCCCTTAGAGAAAAAGAAAAGCTCACTAGATTTGTCGGCGGGCGCAGATCCCATGGAAGAAGGCACAGATGAGAAAGGACCCCTCAGAGGGTGGCAGGTGGGGATGAAGGGGTTGCGGTCAAACCCTGTTTAAAGGTAGTTTTTGTTTCCAGCGAGAAGAATTATGTGTATTATTCTTTGTACCTGTTTAAGACATCAAAACACACACGGTTCACCAGGGCTCCTTGCAGTCTCTTTCCTCCGTGAGGCCCGAAAACTTTCGATACCCAAGCGCCCCTCATCAGTGAGCCTCTAAGAACAGCCCCGGGAGCAGGATTTCCTGGCTATGCCCCTTCCTGAGTGACACCCCAACTTCAGGACCCCCCGAGGCAGAGGGAGCCAATTACAGCCCCTCAGGATCCCTCTCATCTCTAGCAATTCAAAGCCCGCATCCGTGCCCCGTATTTGGCACTCCTCGGTCACGGTGCCCCCAAAACCTTCAGTGGTCAGAGTTCCCTCCACTCCCGCATCCACGTGACACCAAAATCGTGTTCCTGCTGAATCCTCAAAGGCCGGTTCCTCGGCCATTGTGCCTCCGTAATTCTACCCTGGGACGTTTTGCCCCCCAAACCCTGTCCCCGGGTCACCGTCCCCCAGCTCGAACAGCCACAGGCAAATTCCGATCCCTCCCGCTCAGGGCGTCGCCCAGATTTCTTTCTTCTTCCCCAGCCCTCCTCCCCCGGCACCTAGCCTGGGGCCAAGGGGGTGCGGCGCCCACTGACCGCGCCCCTCCCACTCGGCCAATCAGCGATTGCCGCACACCCCCCGGCGCGGCCAATCCGCAGCAGCTCTGCAGCTCCACCCCGTCGCCTGGGGGACTTGCCAGGGACTGGACCCCCGGCCCCACCTGGGGAAATCCAGGGTCCTCGCTTCCCTTGCCGAGGAGTTCACGCCCCCCAGTTTCCTCCTCCCCCAAACCCAAGAGTCCCCACCCGAGCCTTCTCTTCCCTTAGGACTTTTGGCTTCGGCCACCCTCCTACTATACAGGCAGCGATATCAAAATAATTTTCTTCGAAGGGCCAGGAATAAAGACGAGGCCTTTTTGCGTCAATTCCTCCATTATCTTTTAATTAGAGTTTAATGTACTCTTCCCTGCGGGCCTTTTAATTAGCGCACAGCCAAAGCCGACCAGCAATACTTTTCCCAGGAACCCCTGGAGACCGGCTCCTGCTGCAAGGCCTGCCGGGAGTTGAAGTCCCTTGGGTGGAGGCCACGCGTGGGAGCGCGTGGGGCGGGGTCCTGGTGTGGCAGGACCCATAACGGGTGAAAAGTAAATGGAATGATGCCCTCCTCCTCCGGGCTGCAAATTGCTTTATGGGGCCCTGTGGGGTGGATTGGCACATGGGAAGTGGTAACATCCGGAGGTGCACCTGAGCGGCAGCGGGTAGAGGCTGGAATTTGGGAGACTGAGTTTGGGGTGGGAGAGTCCTAGTCAGTGAGGCCCAAGTGGAAATGTACGCAATCAGGAAGGCATGGTGGGGGCCTCCACTGGGGTGCCCCGCCTGGCCTTGCGCCCATACCCCAGCTCCGCACCCCCGGTCACAAACAGCTCGATCCCTGTGCAGAAGTTGGCTTCAGACGCCAGGAAGACGGCGGCAGCCCCCACCTCAGCTGGCTGGCCCATGCGGCCCAGGGGCTGGGGAGAGACAAGGCAAAAAGGAGGTCAAGGGGAACCCCCTTTGCCACCCCCCAAGCCACCCCCGTAGCACCTGGCTGTGGCCCCCACTCCCACCTGGGCCAAGGTGCCCTCTCGGACGGTGGCGGCGGGGTCAGGCGTTGAGGCTGCCAGCTCCTCCCACAGTGGGGTCCAGATGTTTCCTGGGGAGATGCTGGGGAAGGGAGAAGAGGGGATCAGGGACTTCAGCCGCCAACACTGCCTCTCAGGCTCCCTCCCAGTCTTCCCAGTTCCCCCAGGGGGTTCTCAGCCCACTTGGAGCTGCTCACCAGTTGACACGGACGCCATATTGACTCTCATCCAGGGCCAAGGCTTTGGTCATGGCTGTAACTGCGCCCTGCAGAAGACGGACAGATGGGGAGAAAGCTCAGGCCAGGGAAGAGAAGGCTCCTCCCACCCTCTCCTCCCACCCTCTCCTCCCACCCAGGGGACATCAAGCAGGGGCAGCAGAATGGGAAGTCCTGCCCTCCTGCAGGCTTCGTGGGGATGCACCAGGCTCTTTTTCTGGGGAGACACAGGTTATTAGGCCTCAGGGCTGAGGCCCCGAGCCACCAGCTAGGGAGTGAAGGAAGGGGCGGGGTACCTTGGTGGCCACATAGGGCACCGCCTGGGACTGGCCAATGGCCCCGACGAGGCTGGAGATGTTGATGACGTTCCCCCGGCTTTTCCGCAGGTGGGGGAGGGCGAGCTGGGGAGACAGGAGGCAGAGGAAGCACCCCAAGGCCCCCGGATCCCCTCCAGCCCCATGGAAACCCAACCCGAGGTCTGGGACGACAGGCCCCCTCCCTGACTCGTCCAGTAGTTGATCTGGGGGCCTTGTAGGGACAGCATGAGAGCTCCAGCGCGCACCTGCTGGAACTGGTCTGCCCCAGGGTCTCTGGGTCCCAGCGCTCGAGGAGTCTCTCCTTGTCTTGAAGGGACTTTTTTCTTTGCCTCTTCTACTGCCTGCCTCACCCCCTCTCCCTCCCTCTCTCTTTCTCTCTCTCTCTCTCTGGGTCTTTGATGTTACTCAAACGCCTGCCTGTATCAAGATAGGAAAATGCAAGATGGCTGCATATTTTACAAAAACAGGAGGAAGCTCTTCTCTCCATGGAGGGGAAGATGGTTGCTCTGAGTTTCAGGGAGACCTCTGTGGTCAGAAAGTGATGGCAGAGGGCCTCCCGAAACGCACCCCATATTCGGCCGACTTCTCCCCTTCAACTCCCCAGCTCCCTGGAGATCCCTAGACTAACTCTCTCAGCTCTCTCCCTCTCCTGTTCCCACCCTCCCTCTCCGCCTCTCAGTTCTTTCACTACACATGACCTTGAATAAATTCATGTTTTATCATTCCCCCACTAAAGAATTATGAACCAAGCCTGCTGCCCTAAGGGGTTCTCACAGTGGGGATCAAAATTAATTCCTGCTCCGGCTCACCCGACCAGCCCTTTCCAACCTTCTCTACTTGCACAGAAACAGCCTCTGCCCCATTCTCAGTGCTTCAACATGCCCTGAGTATTCCAACCTCAGGGCCTTTGCACTTGCCCTTCTCTCTTCTTGGAACACTTTTCCAGAGATAGCCATGTGACTCACTCCTAGAGTGACTGACCATCCCGGCATGCCTAGGACTGAAGGGTTTCTGGGCACATGGGACTTTCAGTCTGCAGTTTCGGTGCTAAACTGGGACAGTCCAGGTAAACCCACTCCCCCAGCAACTTCAAATCCTGTTCAAATCTCACCTTCTCAGGGAGGCCTTCCCTGACCATCCTATTATTTTTTAATTTTGGGGGGAGGAAGATTGGCCCTGAGCTAACATCTTTTGCCAGTTTCCTCTATTTTGTATGTGGGACGCTGCCACAGCCTGGCTTGATGAGCAGTGTAGGTCCACACCCGGGAGCTGAACCTGCAGACCCCGGGCTGCCAAAGTGGAGTGCACAAACTTAACTACTACACCACCAGACAGACTGGCCCCCGACCTTCCTATTTAAAATGGCCACCTGCCTACCCCGGGTGCCCATCCCATTTCCTGATTCCTTTTCTCCCTGGCACACACCCCTTCTGACACACCATCTATATCTTTCTTACTTAGTAAAAATAAGATACCAAAAGATTATCTTTTGAATGAATAAATTAATTGAGCACCCACTATGTGCCTGGTCCTGTTCTCAGCTCTTTACACCAATTAGTTTATTTAACCCTCACAACAAGCCCAGGAGGTAAGATGGATAGCCCCATTTCACAAGCAAGGAGACTGAGGCACAGAAGGGTGACTGACACTCCAGTCACTCACTCACAGAGGGTCACGTGACACCCGACAGAGCCCAGATTGGCGGGCTGGGTGGTCTGAGACCAAAACCCACACCACGAAGAATTTCTGACAACTCTAAATGCTAAGAACTTTAAGATTGGGGCAGGAGTGAGGGGAGCCTGTCGCCTTGGGGGCGGATTCTAATGCTCCAGCCTCCTCCTCGGGGACCACCCCTCCTTCATCCCTTCTCCCCTCGCTCCCACCAGCCCGGAAAATGACCAGGGGCTCACCCAGCCCCGCCCCCAGGCCCTGCCCCTCCCATCCCAGCCACTTAGCCCCACCCAGCCCCGCCCTGCCAACAGGAGACCCACGAGGGCTGAAACAACGGTTCATTCATTTGCCACCAGCCTCCCAGCACTGGGCACACAGCTGGCGCTCAATAAATATTTGTCCCACACTCCCTGCGGCCCCTTCCAAGCCCTCCTTCCAGAGCCCTCCAGCGCATTCCTTGGCGGGCGTCCTCCCCCACCTCCTAAGGTCACACAGCACCTAGTGTAGCTGGCTGGACTCTCACTGACCTGACTCTCCCTCCCCGCCTCCCTTCCCCGTTCTCCTGCTCGTCCTGACAGCCTCACTCGGGCCTGACTCCGTTTTTCCTCATGTTGGGGTTCCGGGGTCTGCTTCTCACTCTCTTAGCTCTGCTGGGAGAACCCCACCGGCACCTCTTAAATCGACCCGGCACCTCTTAAATCGACCCGCCACCTCCTTGGGCGTCTCCATCTCAATGTCTCAAGCGTAAAACTCACCCCACTATCGCCCCCCAAAACCTGCCTCTCTCCCTGGTTCCCAGCCTCAGACGTGGGGCCCACACCCAGCCAGCGTCTCAAGCCAGAGACCTGGGAGTCTTCCGGAGCCTTCCCTCAGTTCCTTGTCCCATCCCATCCATCGCCCAGCCCCAGCCATTGTGCCTTCTCAGGATCTCTTGAATCTATACATTGCTCTCCACATCATTCAGTCCTTCAACAAACATTCACTGGAATGAATTATGTGGCAAGGATATCGCAGGAAACTAGACAGGGAGAGGTTTCTGCCCTTGTGAAGCCCATGTTCTGTGGGGGAGGCAGCAGTAAACAGATACATGGGTGCATTATGGAATGTGCCAGAATGTGATCAGGAATATGAAACAAGACGCAGGGCAGGATGAAGGGATGGGAGTGTTGGGCTGGGTGCAGTTTCAAACGGGGAGCTCAGGGAGAGCTTTGAGAAGGTGACAGCTGAGTGTTTTGAGTCCATGTGTGAGCTTAGGGGATGTCTTGGAGAAGACCATGCCAGGCAGAGGGAAGAACAGGTGCAAAGGCCCTGAGGCAGGACCAAGCCTGGTGTGTTTGGCGGTGACAAGGCCACTGTGGTGAGAGGTAAGGTCAGAGAAGGAACAGGGGCCAGATCACGTGAGGCCTTGAAGGCCATGTCTTCTCACCTGTATAAACAGGACTGTCTCTTACTTCTGGTTTCCCACCCCCACCCTTTGCCCTCTGATTTGTTCCTCATACAAGAACCAGAGTGATCTATTAATATTAACAATCTGTTGGTATTAGTGGGATCACATTGCTTCCTTGCTCAAATACCTTCCATGGCTCCCTATTGCTCTTGAGATAAAGACCAGATACCTCAGCATGGGCCTCAAGGCCCCATGTGATGTGACCTCCCAACACCTTCCTGCACCACCCCCTGCGCCCACTCCACTCAGCCCCCCAACAGCGCCAAACTCTCTCTCACTGCCAGGCCTTTGCACAGGCTGTTCCCTCTGCCAGGAGCACCTGCACCCCCCATGTAGCCACATCAAGGATCCACTGGACTCATTGATCGGACTCTCCCTACCCGCTCCCTTCCTCTGGACACCCCACCTAGAAAGCCACCTCCCACCCCCTCCCCTAGTTAATGCTGTTCACCTTTCACTTCCTCCAGGAAGCCTAGCCTGACCCCCAGAGCCGGTGTCCCTGTCACACACAGCCCAGGACCACACCCACAAAAACTCATCTCTGCGTGCCTTTAGTAACACTGGCTGCCCCACCACTAAATCTCTACAAGGGCAAAGACCACATGTGTATCCCTAGCACCTAGAGCCTTCCTAACGCTCAGTCAGCATTTGATGAACAGACGAATGAATGGATGGGTCTCTAAAAACCGATCCAGCTCTGTGCCTCTACAGTTGACACTCATGTGTTCACACACCTTCTGTGGATCCCTACTGCCCCCAAGACCCCATTTCTTTGACTACAGACATATCCCTAATTCCTCCATTGTTTTCTCTAGCCTGGGGAATCACAAACTTTGGCTTGTGTCAGAATCTGCCAGGGAAGCCAGAGAGCCAGAGATTCTGATGGAGGAGGTCCGCGCTGGGGCCCAGAATCCACATTTCGAGCGCTTCCAAGGGATGGTGGTGGTGATGCTGATGATGCTGATGGTGGTGATGGCGATGATGATGGGGATGATGGTGATGATGGCAATGAAGGCAATGACAATGCTGGCGATGATGATGATGGTGATGACGGTTATAATGCTGGTGATGGGGATGATGGCGATGATGGTGATGGTGGTGGTGACGGTGGTTACAGTGATGATGGTGGTATTGACGATGTTGGTGATGGTGATGACGGTAATGATGGTGATGAAGGCAATGACGATGGTGATGATGATGATGGTGATGATGGCAATGATGGAGATGATGGTGATGGCGGCGATGATGGTGGTATTGATGATAGTGGTGATGATGATAATGACGGTGATGAAGGCAATGATCATGATGGTGGTGATGATGATGGTGATAATGATTATGACGGTGATGACAGTGATGATGACGGTGATAATGGCAGCAAAGTACACATGTTGACAGATTTCTTTGCAACAGGCACAGTTTCAGGTGCTGGGATAGAGGTACAAACAAGCAGACAAAAATCTCTGCCCTCTGCAAAACCAAATGCAACGAGCAGACCTTGTCTGGAGCCTCGTGTGAACAAACCAACTGTGACAAGCCATTTGGAAACAACTGGGTGAATTTCAATAGGTCTTGAGTAGTAAATAGCATTAAGAAATTACTGTTAATTCTATTAGGAGATCTAATGGCAGTCTACTTACGTTAAAAGTCTTAATTTTTTTTTCGAGGAAGATTAGCCCTGAGCTAACGTCTGCTGCCAATCCTCCTCTTTTTGCTGAGGAAGACTGGCCCTGAGCTAACATCCGTGCCCATCTTCCTCTATTGTATATGTGGGCTGCCTACCACAGCATGGCTTGCCAATCGGTGCCATGTCCACACCGGGGATCCGAACCGGTGAACCCCGGGCTGCCAAGAAGTGGAACGTGTGAACTTAACTGCTGTGCCACCGGGTCAGCCCCTACAAGTCTTAATTTTTAGGAGATGCTTACTAAAGTATTTGGAAATGAACTGTCATGCTGTCACAATATACTTTGTAATACATTGGCAAATATATCCATATATATATTTATGTGTGTGTGTGTATATATATATGACATAGCAAAATGTGAATAATTGTTAAATACAAATGATGGATATAGGGTCATTTGTTATACCACTCTATTTTTAAAATTTAAATTAAAATTAAAAGTTAAGGGGCCAGCCTAACAACTGTTGCCAATCTTTTTTTTTTTTCCTGCTTTTTCTCCCCTAATCCCCCTAGTACACAGTTGTATATCTTAGTTGCAGGTCCTTCTAGTTGTGGCATGTGGGACGCCGCCTCAGCATGGCCTGACCAGCAGTGCCATGTCCACGCCCAGGATCTGAACCAGCAAAACCCTGGGGCGCTGAAGCAGAGCACGTGAACTTAACCACTCAGCCACGGGGCCGGCCCCTGTGCCTGGTATATTTTAAGGGACTTGTGAGCATATAAATTGAATCTTATTCAATTTCCAGAACAACCCTGTGAATTAGGTACTACCACCAGCCCCATTTTTTAGATGAGAAAACTGAGGGGCAGAGAGACTGAGTAACTTGCCCGATGTGGCAGGTACAAAGCGGCAGGTAGGCCCCGGATCTAGACCCTTCATTCCTACGTGTGGCTTCTGTACCAGCCACTCCCAGGTCACAGAGTCAAGTAGTCCAATAGGGAGAGGTGGGGACTGGGGCACAACGGGGAGCTGGGCCACAGATAGCCGACTGTCGTCCTGCCCCATGGTCCAGCTGGCCAACTTGTCAAGAGAAACCAGAAATCTGGTTGTTTATGAGAAATCTCTCTCTTTTTAAGTGCTAGCTACTAACGAGAGAGAGAAATACCCTTTCCAGGCTGTGGCAGATGTGGGTCTTAGTGTATGACAGGCCAATTTCAGAAAGCACACAGAAAGCGGAGGCAGGAACAGGGTTTACCGGTCCAGCAAATGATTACCCAACTGCCCGGGGACAACCTGCTTGGATCTGCGGTGGGATCTCAGGCACCTGAGCTTCCGCATGCTGGTGACCCCTGGCCCACTCCCAGGGCCCCTCCACTCTCTGTCCACACTTGCTTTTCTAAGCTCCTCCACCTTCAAGCTGGTGAACACCAGGCTGATGTCTCCAGGCCTGGCCCCGCGGACTCAGCAACCCGACGTGGACGCCTGGTGGGCCTCTCCCACTCCACGAGCCCCCCAACCCGCCTGCTCCTCCCAGGCTGCCCCATGACCGTGCACGGCGGGTCTGTCCGGCCAGTGGCTGGGGACAAGGATGGGGGAAGCAACCAAAAAAACCCACTCCTTTCTTTCTCGAGTCCACCCCCTCATGTAGTCTATAAGGAAATTCTGACAATTCTACCTTCAAAACAGATCTGGAATAGGAACCACTGCTCACCACATCCACGGCCGCCAGCCTGGTGGGATCCGACCTCACCTCCCGCCTGGACCCTCCGGCCACCGCCTCCCTGTGCCCCTGCGTCAGCCCTCGCCCCCGGGCTGTCCCCCCATGCGGCCGTCAGAGGGCGCCGGTTCCCACCTACAGCCACTTTGCAGGCTCCCAGCTCACTCAGGGTCCAAGCAAAACCTTCTCCGTGGTTTACGAAGTCCCAGATCCTCTAGGCCCCTCGGATCCCTTTCTGCTCTCACCTCCCACCCACTCCCCCTTGCTTCAGTCACACTGCCCTCGTCGCTGTTCCTCCTACATGCCAAGCATCCCAGGGCCTTTGCACTGGCTGTTCTCCTGCTGGCCCGCTCTTCACCCCACACCTCCTTGGGGTCTGACTTAAATGCCACCTCTCAGGGAAGCCTTCCGACTACCCCACCGTGTCTAAAAGCTCAAAAAAAAAAAAATACATTTTTTAAAAAAACCCTCATCTGGTAAAGATGTCTACTGAATTATTTACAGGTGAAATATGATGTCTGGGACTTGCTTTCAAATACACCAGCAAAAAAAACAAAGAAAGAAAGAAAGTGAGTGGACGACAAGAAGCAAGAATGACAGAATGTTGGTCATCGTTGGCTCGGGGCCTGACGGGCACGTGCGATTCAGCACGTGATTTCCCCTGCTTTCACACATGCTTGCAAAATGGTAATAAAGTTCCATAAAACAGCATTTGCACTCACAAATGGCTCTTTCTCCCCTTTCTTCCCTCCAGTTTTTTGCACAGCATTTAGCACCCATTGCCACGACAGCCTACATTCACCGGCCCTGTCTGTCTTCCCCACAGGACATCAGCTCCCCAGGGGCAGGCATGTTTGGGTCTCTTGTGTTCTCGGCTGGATGCCCAGCGCTTAGCACATTGCTGAACGCTCAATCAATATTTGTTCAATGAATGAATGAATGAAAAAAGCGCTAAGATGAAAAGAAACAGGCTGTTCGGATAGAAAATGAACGTGTCTGTGCAGGTGCCCCAGCAAGGACAGTCGGGAAAGGCATTTCTAAAGAGGTGACATTCGAACTGAGATGACCAGAAGGAGGAGTTCCGGGAAGACTCTGAGGAAGGGTAGAGGGGGTGAGGGGCCGCTCTTCGATCCTAAGAGCTATGCGCTGGGCGGCAAAGCTGCACCCCCGTCTCAGTCCCTCCCGCCATGTTCTTCACATCCCCCATCACTACCACACCACTTGGGAAGGTTCTAGAAGGTTCCTAAGAAGGCAAGCGACTACACAGGTAACTTGTGTGGGATGAAGAGATTTGGACCCGTTTCTTTTCTACAAAGAAAGGAGTCCTTTTGGACTAAGATCAAACCAAGGCGCAGAAAACATTTTGCTCTCAGAGTGGGTCTGACCATCTCACTGTCAGGAGGCCACCCGGGCCTGGCCGCCGGGGCCCCAGCCCTCACCTTGGTGAAGGTGTACGTCCCCAGCAGGTTCAGCTCCAGCAGCTGCCGGAAGCCCTGGGCAGAGGTCTCCTCGGGCCACTGCGGCGGTGGATCTAAGGGTTGGGGTGGAGAGAGAGAGGGGAGAATGAGGGAGCCCCGCGGACAGGAGAACGCGGAAGGGAAATGGGGATGGGGGTGGGAGGGGCACGGGGTCGGGGGAGCAGACAAGCAGGTCAGGGATCTGAAAGGAAGGGAGGCTGCAGAGCGGCTGATAAAAAAGCAGTCTCGGGGGGCCAGCAGGCCTGGGTTCAAACTTCAGCCCTGCCACTTCCTGCTGCGTGGCCTTAGGCAGGTCCCTTTGCCCCTCTGTGCCTGTTGGCTCCTCTACAGAATGAGGATAGCACCTTGTTTTCGGGCTTGGAAATTTCACGGGTCAATATTTGAGCTAGAGACTTAGTACCATAATGTGTTTGTTAAATACACAGAAAGAATGGCAGGCTGGGGGTGTGGGGTGGGGGGGCCAGAAAAATGAACATTGGGAAGGAGCTGAAAAGCTAGGACAGTGAGAACAAGGAGAAAAGACAGACAGTGGGAAGGGAGCAGCCTGCCTGCTCCAAAGGCCTCAGGAGAGGAGCGGGTGAGGGGACAGAGGTGGGAAAGCAAACAGAGAGCAAAGAGTCGGGGAAATAATGGGCCACTCCTCCCCAGAGACCCGGGCCGTGGCCTCGCTTCCTTCGAGGATCTGCTCAAGCATCTTCAGAGAATCCACACGGCATCCAGATCTTCTGTCCAAAACAGCCCGTGCCATTCCGTGGCTCCTCAGTCAGCTTTATTTTCCTTCACAGCCTTTCTTCCTGCCCGACACGCCAGTACATACAGTGGTTCTCATTATTCAAGGCAGTCACGGTCCATAAAGTCCCCACGAACACTGAGTTGGTGAAGCCACTGGTCCCAGGGGAAACATGTACACATACTATCATATAAGAATATGCACACGGTACGGACTGAACGTCTGTCCCCCCAAAATCCGACTGTTGAAATGCTACCCTCCAGTGGGAAGGTGTTAGGAGGTGGGGTCTGTGGGAGGTGACAAGGTCCTGAGGCTGGAGCCTCCTGATGGGTTTAGGGCGCTTAGAAGAGAGACCCCAGGGAGCACTGTCGCCCCTTCCGCCACGTTAGGACACAGCGAGAAGCAGGCCCTCACCAGACACCCAGGCTGCTGGTGCCTTGATTTCGGACTTCAGCCTCCAGAACTGTGAGAAATACTCGTCTATGGTTGAAGCGCCCCGGTCTGTGGCGTTTGTGTGAGAGCAGAGAGAACAGACGAAGTCAGCACATGCAGGGGGACATACGCATATAGAGAAACAGAGGGGGCCGGCCCGGTGGGGCAGCGGTTAAGTGCGCACGTTCCGCTTCGGCGGCCCAGAGTTTCACCAGTTCGGATCCTGGGCGCGGACACGGCACCGCTCGTCAGGCCATGTTGAGGTGGTGTCCCACATGCTACAACCAGAAGGACCCACAACTAAAATATACAACTATGTACTGGGGAGATCTGGGGAGAAAAAGCAGAAGAAAAAAAAAACAGATTGACAACAGTTGTTAGCTCAGGTGCCAATCTTTAAAACAAACCAAAAAAAAGAAACTAATATATAATACTGTACACCTGAAGTTTACACACTGTTATAAGGCAATATGACCGCAATAAAATTTTTTTTTAAATGCAGCCCAGAGAGGGTGACCCACTTGCTCAAAGCTGCCCAGCCAACAAAGCAAGCTTCTCTCTACCACAGCCTTGCCGTGTGACCTCCGTGCAATCAGCTCACCTCTCTGAGCCTCGGTTTACTAACATGAGACCTTCTTATGACGGGCAGTCATTAAGCTGATGGCAATTTCCCTTGGAAGCCACCACACTAAGCCCTATAACCACGTGCTGTGAGCACATCTTCACAGTCGTCGGAACATACAGACATACCAGTATGTCTGGCTCGGATCCCCAGTGCCCACATGGCACCGCTTGGCAAGCCATGCTGTGGCAGGCGTCCCACATATAAAGTAGAGGGAGATGGGCACGGATGTTAGCTCAGGGCCACTCTTCCTCAGCAAAAAGAGGAGGATTGGCAGCAGATGTTAGCTCAGGACTAATCTTCCTCAAAAAAAAAAAAAAAACCACGAAAAAGAAAAAGAAAAAAAGAAAAGCAATGCGGGATATGAGGAAGCCATTTGGTTTAAAACTAATTCGGCCTTGACCTTGTTTTTCCAGAAAGGCCTGAAGCGGCCCGTCCAGCATGCATCGCACACCTGCTTTAGACATTTACAACATCCCAAAGCAAAGAATGTCGTCTTGGTAAAGATAGGGATGGGTGCGCCCCCCATATTAGCATTTCTTTAGAGATAAGCATTTCCTTCCAGAACCTAAGGGTCAAACTGACCAGCTTTGCCCATCTTGTGACCACTGACCCGCTGGGCTAGCAAAACATCTTGTGACTGTAGGAAAAGAGACACTCCTGTCACATGTGATGTCTGTTCCGTGTCCCAGGACGGTGGTAACCACACTGTTTACCTACTTCTTTGGGGAGCTTCCTTCCTCGGGGAAGGCGATCTCCTGGGCTCTATGGTCTTCAGATTAACTCATATATCAGCTCACCCCGATTTTGATTTATAGAGCGAATATTTGCCTCCACAAGCCTGAGCACTTTCCCTTATTCAGTCCTTGTAGCAACCCTGGAATGAGGTCGATCTTCATTCTCATTTTAAAAATGTAGAAACTGAGGCACGGCGAAGTGAGGGCAAAGGTCGGGGCATGCAGCAGGGGGGGGACAGGGCCGGAGTTGAAGGCCAGGCATGGACGATTCCACAGCGGCCCTCTCCTGTCCAAGGAGACAGAGGGGGAGGTGCAGAGAAAGGGGAAACTGAGGAAGGGGTGGAAAGCCAGGAGGTGGGTGGACACTCTGGTGGAGAATGGCCCTCGGGCCTCACAACTCACGGTAGCCAGCGTTGTTGACCACACAATCCAGGCGGCCGAAACGGTGGACGGTCTCAGAAAGGAGAGTCTGAGGACAAAGACGTCTGTGAGGGAGCGGGGTTGGCCTTGTGGAGCCCACGATCCCAAAGCCGGGGGGGGGGGGGGGGGGGAAGCTGGAGTCACAGAGGGAACAGGAGCCAGAGCAAGTGGGGGACCCTCTGCCCCCCAAATCACCAGGCACGGCAGGAGAAGTGACAGGAAGCCATGGGTGCCAGAGACCAGAGCGATATTGACTAAAGGGAAAGGACAAAAACCCTGAGCCAGGAGAGGGAAAACTCTTACAGAAGGAGACCCGCTCTGAGGAAGCTTTTTGTTGCAATCCTCGTGACAGGTGTGACAAGAGCTTTGCAGAAGTGGGAGATAAAGGAGAAGCTTCCCAGGAGACACAGGACCTGGCCAACAGAATCAAGGAAAGCCCGGGAATGACACTGAGCTGAAACCTTTGGGATCAGTACAGTTTAGCCAGGAGAAGAGGGAAAGGTAGAGGGAACAGCCTGTGCAAAAGCCCAGAAGAGAACAAAGTGAGCGAGAGAGAGAGAAACTGCTGGAGATGGGAAGTAGGGACAGAAGAATACGCTTACCCTCACATCTTCCTCCCGAGTCACGTCACAGAGGAGAAAGACAGTTCCAGGAAGCTCCTGCTCCAGGGCCCGGCCCCCAGACTCTGCAGAGAGAGGGCAGAGGGGTGGAGGGACAGGACTCCTGGGTCTGGGGAGAAGGGGCTGGGGACCTGGACCCCTGGGTCTGAGGGAGGCGGGGCTGAGAGCCAGGACTCCCGGGTCTGAGGGAGGAGGGGCTGGGGCCCACAATCCCGGGTCTGAGGGAGGCGGGGCTGGGGACCTGGACCCCTGGGTCTGACGGAGGAGGAGCTGGGGGCCAGGACTCCTGTATGTGAGGGAGGAGGGAATGGGGGATGGACTCCTGGGTCTGAGGGAGGAGGGACTGGGGGCCAGGACCCTCGGGTCTGAGGGAGGAGGGGCTGGGGCTGGACTCCTGGGTCTGAGAGAGGAGGAGGGTAGGGGTGAGGACTGAGGGACCCACACTCACCGTCTTTGTCGCAGATAATCACTTGGGCCCCGCTTTCCACTGAGAACAGAACAGGTTACCGCAGCACAGGCCTTGGGGAAGGCCTCTGCTGCCCTCTTGTGGGCATCTGGAGTGGGGACTATCTCCCTCCCTGCTCCCTTTGATCCCTAAGTCTCATGATGATCCCCTGGATCAAAGGGCAGAGGCCTTGACACATATTCTCCTTGGCTGCTCCAGGGGCCTGCTGGGGCTCCCAAGCCCCCATCCCTGGGGTCCAGAGCAAATTCTAAACCCGCAAGAGGCATTCCCCACCCACCCGTTTTGTAGCTCTAACCGAAACCCAGGGGGAAGGAAGCAGCGTTTGGGGACACGCAAAGAGCTCAGGCCCCAGGCTACCCCTTCATTAGCATCGCAAATTGGGTTTCGTGCGATGGAATCTTGCCTCCTGTACTGAAGCCCTTCTTCCCACATCCATTAGCCTCCAGGATCCCTCCAATATTTCCAGCAGCCAGACCCCCTCTCACCGAAGGCTCGCACGATCCCGGCTCCGATGCCGCGCCCGCCCCCTGTCACCACGACCACCTTCCCGGCATAGCGCGTTCCCGTGGCCATTCTGCCTCAGTCTGTCTCTCCCTCTGTCGCTCACTCTGCGCTTCTTTCCACCTCCAAAGTCCGGGAAGGCCGAACCACAAATAGGGGCTGGACCCTGGAAGCCCGGCCCTGGGGGGGGCGTTGCCAGGAAGACCAGAAGCCTGGAAGTTTGGCCCCAACCCCCTCCTCCCTCAAACCCAGGAGTCCGGGACCCCAATGCCCTCCTCCCTCAGAACCAAGATTCACGGCGTCCGGCCCTCTCCTCCCTCAGACCCAGCAAATGAGGCCCCCAGCTCCCTCCTCGCTCAGACCTACAAGTCCGAGGTCCCTGTCCCTTCCTCCCTTGGGACCCAGGAGTCCAGACTCCAGCTCTGCCCCTTAGAGACCCCAGTGTCACAACCTCAAACAGACAGAGAGAAGGCTATTGACTAAAAGTTCAAAGTTTTAATCCGAATTTGGACAAGTGTTGGGAAAACCAAATTTCGGCCACCGGAGGGGACTAGATCACGCCCCCAGGTGCCCTGAGTGGCTCCAGATCTCGGGCGGTACCTCCAGGCCACGCCCTCACGCTCCGATTGGCTGCCGCGCTTGGGCGTGTCAGAAGCTGGACTGCAGCAGCGTGACCCGCAGAGGCCACGCCCCCTCGTCTTGCGTCAGGGCGGGAGGGGCGGCCCCAGGGTCCCACGTGGACTCCCAGGAGGCGGGGCCTGCGCCACGCCCACTACCTCGGCGGGAGAACCCCGTGGAGCGGGAATTGGCCACCCGAGGAGATCGTGGCGGCGAGGACACCTGGGGCGTGGGGTCTGACGGAGGCGGCGGCGCAGGGGGAAGAGGGTCTCCTCGGGAGTCCAAATTTCCCCCTAGAGAGGACGAGTGGGGAATGAGAATGGCAAACTTTGGGATTCGGGAGTGCAGACCCCCAAGGCCTTTCCTCTCTTAGACCCAGGAGTCCAGGCCCCCAGCCACCTCCTCCCTCAGACCTAGGGAGGCCCACCCCTCAGTACCCTCCTCCAGATCCAGTAGCCCTGGACCCCGATGTCCTCCTGCCTGGGATCTAGAACTTCCAAGGCCTGTCTAGCTCCTTCTTCATCAAGACAAAGGATTCCCAGCCACCCTCAGACCCCTCCCCACCAGCACCTAGCATTCTGGGCCTCTGGCTCCCTCTTCTCTAAAACCCAGGAGCCCAGGGTCCCCAGCCCCTCCTCACCTGTCATCATTCTGTGCCACTGCGACGCCTCAGCAGCCAGGGCTTGCGAGAGGCTAAGGACTCGCTCCCGGTGACCTTCGGATGTCGGCAAATAAGGGGTGGTGTTCCTTGGACTAGAAAAAAAGAGATCGGGGGACGTGTACAATTATATAATGCAGCGAGGCCCGCGGTGCTGCGCGTGTCCTTCTGGGAGTTGTAGTCCCTAGCACGTGTCTTTAAAGGACTTTAACCATGGCGCGGCCCTTATAAAAAGCCCGCGTGCATTATGGGATTTGTAGTCCAGTCGTCCTTAAACTTCACCAGATTTCCCGACCCAGGGGCGGAGTTAGATACCTACCCAGTTTTGCAGTTTTGGCAAATGCAGTTCTCAATGCGGATCTAGGGCTTTCTGAACTAGAACAGGTTCTGCGACCTGCACTTCAGTACTCAGGAGACATTAATAATCACGCTTCTCCCTTCCCCTTTGGCAAATCGATTTCCCAGCTCCCTGCCCAGCCCTGGAATTGCTCACCTGCTCCAGGACCCGGAGCTTCTGAGCCATTTCTGGGCTCCAGAGTGTCCTGGGACCGCCTGCAAAGGAACTGGGGCATTAGATTTCCTCGTCTGGAAGTCCTCACGTTCTCATTTTGAGGAGGAAATGAAGGGGGCTCAGAGAGGGGATGAAACTGCCCCCAGAGACACTGACAATGTTTAACTTTACATGCACTCCTGAAAAACAGCGAGGTTAAGAAACTGCCCCCGTCCCCCACACACGCCCTTTTGTGCTCTGGAAAACGGCTTACTTCGAAGAACCCCTGTTCTCCTTATGACTTAGATAAGACTCAGACGACTCCCCCGCCCCTGGTTCACCCACGGCAAGGCCAGAAACAGGCCCTCCAAATTCACATTCTTCATCTCACAAATGATTCCCAGAACTGTCTCCCCAAAACTAGGTAGACACAGAGATAAAAGTTTGGTGTTCAGCTGACTAAGACGCCGCCCATTACAAAATCAATCCCAACCGGAAAATCACGCCACCTATGACTTGTCTAATTGCTCCCCAGGAAAGTCTAAGATGAAACCATCCTGCCGAGACGCTCGGATCTTCAGATCTGGGGTGCTCCCCCCACTACAATAGCATGAATAAAGTCGATTTCCCTCCTTGCTCAAAAGAAAAATGATTATTTTTTTTGCCTTTGATAACACATAGTAGCTGAAAAAGAAAAACTGGGCTCCTAATCCAGACTCGTGACCCCCATCCTGAAGGGAGAACGCTGGTGAGGTGGAGATGTTGGCTCTGTCCCCCTCCTCCCCTCACCCCATTCCCCACCGCGAGGGAAGCCAGGGTGCTGATTTCAGCACAGGTGCAAGCTGGGGTGAATCTGGAAACCCGATTCTGGGTAAGGAGGTAGGGGACGTCCCCCTTTTACAAGGAGAGAAACTGAGGCTCTAACTAGGAGCAGAGGACCCATTACCACTCCACCCACCACCCCACTTTGCACTCCCTGTTCCCCTCACCCTTTGTTCCATGTCAGGCTGGCGTCTGGCTGGGGACAGCGCCCTGCCCAGGGTGAGGAGCCGAGGCGAAGCAGGGCGAGGGAGCGGCCGGCCACACTCCTGGTTTCTGCGTATTCTCTCCAGCTGCTCCTGAGTACTCATCCTCGGCCGGGCCACCGGGGGCTGGGGAGATGAGAACACCTTGAGATCCGAACCTTGCGCCTCCCCTTTATGTCTTCCCTGAGCCTCTCTGCCTCCAGTCTTGCCCTTTCTAGTAAGTCCACCACCGGACCTTGGAGGGGGTCTTTCTACACCCACCGTCCCCTCACTGCTGGCATCCTCTCATGGCCCCCAAGAACCCCCCAGACCAAAAGTGTTCGAGGTCCTGTGTGGCCTGTTCCCTACCCACCTCTCTGGCCTCAACTCCATCAGCTGCCCTATTTGGACCCAAAGACCGAGCCTAACAAACACCTACACCTCCCTAGATGTATCAAGCTTCTTCACACTAGTAGTCAGGACCCTGGGTGGCTTGTGTGGGGGATCAGAATTTGCCACCCCAAAATGTATCTCTTCTCCCTGCTTATTTTTAAGAACAAAATTCTCAAAAAGAAACTTTGACCTTTCCCCTAACTGCCTAAAGGAATTTAAAATAGAAGGCATGCCAGGACAGGCCACCACCATAGATAACTCTGAGTATGGTAGACAGGGAGGATCCCTGCTAAGCCCATTTTTATCAAAGTTCTCTCTCTCTCTTGGGTCACATTGTCTATCGATGGCCCAGCAAACATTTGTTTACCAAACATTTGCTTTTCCATCTCCATGTGAATTGTCTTCCTCCTCTTTGAAGTCTCAAATCACTACCCCCAACATCCTCCTTTGTCTTTAGCTGAGATTGGTATTTAAGGTGGTGGCTTTCCCCATTTTGGCTAGTTACTCAGTTTTCCTGGGCTTTTCCCATGTATTCACGTTATTAAACTTTGTTTGATTCTCTCCTGTCATTCTGTCTCATGTCAATTTAATTCCTAGACCTGCCAGAAGGACCCAGAGGGCAGAGGTATAGTTCCTCCTCCCCAGCACTTGTGATGAAAAACAATTCTGAGTCCTCTTGACAATGACAAATGGAGGAAGGGGATGCATTACCTAAACGGTCGAGAGGATCACTTTGGGTTGGCCTTGGCTTCCAGAGCTCTCTCTGGCCCTCAAAACCAGAGAGAAGACACACTCAGGGAGAAGGCCATGTGACAATGGGCGTCGTGCTACCACAAGCCAAGGAACTACCGGAAGCTAGGAGAAAGGCCCAGAACAGATCCCTTCCTGGCATCTTCAGAGGGAGTGTGGCCCTGCTGACACCTTGATCATGGACTTCTAGCCTTAAGAGCTTAAAATACAAGAGGGTAGAGATAAATCGAAGAAAACAATATTCACCAAAAAGAAACCAGAACTTGAAAATTTGGGAAATTCTCAGCCTATCCATATTGCAAAAAGTGAGAGCACATGCTCTGGAGAGAAGACCAAGGGTGTGGCTGGACAACCTGTTTGCGAAGAGATTAGGCATGTGACATGTGGAGTCCATGAATCATCTCAGCAGAAATGCTGCCAGCTTGAACTGAAGGGCACAGAGAGGGGATGAAACAAAGGAAAGCTGTCAGACTTCCGGGGTGCTAGAGGCAAGGAACGGGGCGATACGGTTATCCAGCTGCTAAGATGTGTTATCCTTCAGGAAAGGGGGCAATTTGGGAACAGATGTGTATACTGGAAAGACTGTACATGACAGATGGAGTTACGCTGCCACTAGTCAAGGGAATACCTGAAGCCTGGAACAGACCCCCCCCCCCCCAGCACCTTCAGACAGAGGACACCCCTGCTGACACCTTGGTTTTGGACTTCTAGCCCATGAAACTTCGAAAGACAGCAGATGTGTTGTTTAAGGAAAAAAAAAAAAAAAAGCCAAAAATCAGAGGGAGGAGAACTCTTAGCTGCCGTCTCCAACTAGAAAATTCTGGGGAGACAGGTTGGATCAGCTCCTTATTGTGGGACCAGTCACGGCAGTTTACCCACTTACTCTGATTTGGCCACTCTTGAGTCACATGTCCACCTATTAAATAAGTAATGGCCCCTGAGTATCGGCTGTATGTTACTTCTTCACAGCAGCCAGATCATCGGCTAGACAGCCTGCTGTCACGCAATCCCAACTGTTACACATCCACTTGTTTTGAACGTAACCCAAATAGGCAGAGAACTTTAGCTATCTACAGCCTGCCTGATCTGAACGTTCCACAAAACTGTGCCTAACATCTGCTCGCCATCGATAAGATAAACTTGTGGGGGGCCAGTGGCGCAATGGACAAGCATCTGACTAGGACCAGAAGATGAGATAAATTTGTAGTTGTAAAACACCCCAAGACCAGTGCTGTTCTCTGGAGCTCTCCCGCCCAGAGACTCCCCACAGTGCTGTGGGGCAACAACACCTAGACCTTAAGCCCATTCTGGGATCTCCCTCTCTCCTGAGATTTCCCTTGCCACCCACCCCCTCTTCCCGTCTGGGCAGTGGCCCCCAGGCAGTAACCTCTGGAAGGTCTCACGCTGTGACGGACTTCTCCCACGGGCAAACCCGTCAAAGTGTGGACCAAAT